ACTAAAAAATTAAAATACTAAGAAGAAAGAATAACAAACCCGCTTTATTTCTCACTGATGAGGAAACAAGTATATTGGCTTCAGCATGTAAATATACTATTGTTAGAAAATTTCCATATGGAAATCCCAAGCTTGAGATTATTAGAGAGCATTTCGATTCTCTTAAGTTCACAGGGAGTTGGAAAGTTGATTCACTAGCTGGCCGTCACGTTCTCATTCAACTCTCAAATGACACAGATTATACACAACTCTTTGCTAAAAAAAGTTCTCAAAATCGATAATCGCTTTATGAAAATTCTGAAATGGACAGTGGATTTTGATCCTAAATTGGAATCTCCTATTATCCCGGTTTGGGTTAATTTTCCAGGGCTCAAAGTACATCTCTTTAATTAAGAAACCCTTTATACATTGGTAATTGCTTTTGGGAAACCGCTGAAGGTCGATACTCCCACGCTTGATACAACCAGGCCATCTGAAGCTTGTGTGCTTGTAGAGCGCGACATCACTCAGCCCTTTCCATGGGAGATTTGGATTGGCTCCCCTCATCAGGTTTATTGGTAAAAGATTGTGATGGGACCTCATCCCCAATACTGCTCTCACTATGAATGTTTGTTCATAGTTCTTCATCCTGTTATCGGTTGCATCCCCATCTACGGTCGGCTGTAGTCCCACCTCCTGTTTCTCAACACATTTCTGCGGAGGTTATACCCTCTTCCTCTCTGCCTGTGATACCTACTGCTATGCCCATGGCGGATACGGTCCCACGGCGGATACGGTGCAAAATGGTTTGTCTACTAATATTGTTTCGGAAAATGTTTATAAGGGTCGATTGTTGGAGAAGAGTCAGGTGGTTGCCCCTAGAAGGTAGGACGCGGTCACTGTCCCTTCTTTTACTGGAATGAACATACTATCCTCTCAGGCTCTACCTACCGTGGAGGGTGCTCAGGCTCCCCTCTATGAGGTGATTGAAGATAGGGATGAAGCGAACATTTAAATTCAGATGACGAAAAAAGTGTTTCCTAATACTAATTAGAAAGATTTAGAGCCAAACACAAACTATCTTATTGCTATTAATCAGTTGGTAAAACTACCTGTTGAGAGAGTAGGTGTTTCCCAAGTATTGGAAGATTGTCCTACACAAACTCAGGAACTCATCGCTGCAAGTGTCTTTCCTTCTACGGATCAGGCTGAACAGTCTTCAGAAGAAGAATGACAAGTTTACACTTCTCGGCGGAAGAAGAAGGCTGGGGATACTGTTCAATACTGTTCAGCTTGGAAACTCTTAATGAATGATACCTTGGTCACTCCTGACAATGGAACAACGCTTCACAGTTTGCTATCTGGATCCGCTCCAAGAACAAAAGGCAGGTCTAAACTGCCTCATCCATAGACACTTATTTTTTAATGTTTTCTTTCTTTGAGTCTTTTGTATCTTTTTGTTAAGATATCTTTGTACCATATATCGTGAGTAGGGCAACATCTATTGGACTCTCTCATACAACTTTTTGTATCCTTTTTTATTTCTATATAATCAGCCCTAGGGCTTCCATAATATCTTAGCCAAAAGGTCGAGAAAGATATGCATGTAAATATATATATATATAATGATTATATCTAAATAATAGTGAAGTTAGAAATTAATATGAAAGAAAAATATAAAAGAGAAAGAAGCTATTTAAGTCTAATGTGTTCTTAATAGGTAAACGTCAAGGACTAGATACTTCTTAGGAAAAGGTACTTGATTACATATTGTACAAGTGGCTAAATATGTTTTTTATTTTATAATAGTCATTTAAGTATTTAAATTTATAAAAGCACTTGCAGCAACTTTTACAAATTTAACATTTATTAAAATGCAAAATCTTACATTTTCAAACGTTAAGCAAAAGAAACAAATAAAATATAATATATGCATGCATATGTGAAGTCACCCGCAGTTGGTACTGACATACTCGCGCACGTTAACCAAAAATGAAAATATTTGCGTACCTTTTTAGTAGATTGGAAGATGTTAAACATATATTTTGAGTATAAGTTTAAAATGTGCCTCCCACTCAAAAGTATTGTAACTGAAATGAATAAAGATAACCGAAAATTGCTTTGTTTATTAATTCATTTTCACTGTTCAGTCTTTTTACTATTTACTATAATTTTACAAAATATTTTTAAAATGAGAAGTATTGTAGTTTAAAAATATTTGACCCGCTAGATAGTTTAACTTACACTTTAAGCTGCTAATTTTTTTCAAAAAAGATCGTTAAAGAATAAATGTACCCTAGAAAATTTATGCAGGTATACCAAAGAACACAGGATCATAGGTATTACATGACAGTTTTTATGTTTTGTCAGTTGTAAAATTTTAAAATCTGTATGAACTATTTGTAAATTAAAATTTGATAAAATAGAATAGAACTTTTATATTTTGAAATATATTTAATTATATGAATAAGTTGTCAATGGAGCTACGAGACAGCCGCAAGAAATCTGCTCGCAAGAAGAAATGTCGTCGCAACGGGAGATGACAGCGAGAGAAATGTCGTGTCAATGGAGATGAGACGACAGGAGCGCTCTTCGTCGACAAAAGTGACGACTGGGAGCTAACGAACTTCAAACAAGAAAGACGGGAGTTGCAGCTGCGTGAAAACGTCTTTCGTGGGAGACGCAGAAGAGAAACGAAGAAGCAAAACCCGATAAAATCACCGTCGGGAATCGCCATGAGGCAAAACCCTAGCAGAGCCTGCCTCTGCCGACGCCATTATATATATATGGTTTAAACTTATATATAAATATATATAATATATTATTATATAAACAATATATGTAATATATTATTATATAAATAATTATATAATTTTTTTTATTTCAAGCTAAAACAAGCCGAACAGAAGTGAACAAAGAGCTGTTTGTGTTCGGCTCGTTTACAACTCGAGCTTTAAAAACTTGTTCGTGTTCGACTCGTTTACTTAACGAACAAGCCGAACACGAGCTACATAACAAGCCGAACACGAGCTTTTTGCGAACAACGAGTTTTTTTGACAGCCCTTGTTACAACCCTATTGGATATTATAAGATGTTCAGACTCTAGTTTCAAAAGTGGAGAAAGATTATCACCAACTAATCATCATATCTTACTAGCAGAGTTAAACACCAGAATAAAACCTCAAGCGTACACCCAATGGAGCATTCAAGCTAATCTAGCCAAAGAAAAACTAGCTCAAAGTGGAGAGCAAATAGAGTCAACCAGCACTCTCAAATTTGTCATAGTCAGGAAGCACATCAAGTGCCACGGTTTTGAGCACAGTGCATCATAATGCCTAAATAAATAGGGAGCAGTTGAAGAAATGAATGATGACACGAGAGGGAGTGAAGATGTCAGAGAGAAGTCTCAACTTCTAGCTGATGAGGAAGAGATGTTAGTGATTTAAATTAAGCCCATAAAAGAGACTCCAACAAGATTAAACTTAGTTATTCTATGGAAGGTAGTAAATAAGAGAAGCCGATACCATAAAAGATGCAACCCATGTTGAGGGAGTCATGGATATCCTAATCGATAGCTTACCTCTTGGGTGATTGCGACTGAGGGTGGTCTAGCATGTCACAAATTTCATTCTATAGTTTATTGCTCCAGACAAACTTAATTATAAGATACACCTAACAAAGTAAAAAGGAGTGAGACAAGTAGGTTGCTCACTTAAAATGGTTAGATGCATGATTCGTGACAATATTAGCCTAAATATAGTTCTAGCTCTAGTTATGCCAAAAAATAATGACTATTTATACTATCAAGGCAGTTTTTGAAATGAAATATGTGTTTAGAATTGCATGCAGTGGACATGAGCATAAATTTTGCAATTGGATTGTCTCAGACATAGCAAAGCAATGACTTTATTATGGTGGTGGTAGATCGATTCAAAAATAAGAAAAAACCTCTTCTCCCAGAGAGAACGACATGGGAGTTACTAGGGCATCGCGAGATTTGACATCCCGCCACCCCAAATCAGCGAGATTCCACTGTTTTGTGAGATCGAGCACACCCACAATCGCGGGGTAAAGAAACCACGATGGTCACACCCTGTTCGCAATTTCAACAGAAAACTTGCCTTTATGGCTTCCATAGGACTTGGGGTTCTTATTTCCTATTTTTCTTATTTCTAAATTGGGTTTTTTACTTGAGGGATTATTTATATGTTATTATTTTTTGGTTGAAAAAACTTTTTTGATTTATTTGTGAGTTTTGAAGATTGTAACTCTCATTTCTACCTCAAGGAGTGTTGAATCTTTTTTTTTTGCAAGTAATGTGATTGTAACTTGTGCAATAATATATGGTGGAATCTCCTCGACGCTCGTTTCTCACCAATTACCCATTTGAGCTGCTGTTTTTAGCGGGAAAGCCGCTGAATGACACTTAGCCTAGTGCAAATGCTATCAACCTCGCATATTTTCATTCCCTCGTTAGTCCACAATTACTTCCCTTCTAAATTTACACCCAAAATACCTTCTAGAAACACTAGAACGGTATCAAGAAGCCCACTGACAAAGACACGAGTCTAAATATTCATTTGGGACGGTTGTAGTTGTTGTAAAAACAATTATAGGAAACATGGATTTTTTTTTGCTTTGCGAGTATCATAAAAAAATTAGATGAAAATTTTCTCACAACTAGCACACCCTAATATAATTAATTTTAAGAAGCTACTTTACCATTTAGGGAAAAAAACTACTTTATCATTAAAATTTGTGAAAAGTGGCACAAAATTCGTAGACAAATAGAACTGCCGCAAATCTTTTTGAGAGCAAAGTTGTGGAAAATATTGCCCAAATGGACCCTAAGACTCCTCTTTTTATGGTGAACCATAGACATCAGGTGAAAATTTTATTTGATTGCAAAATAACCGTTAAAAGTGTGGCTAGTAGATGGTCCTTAAGCCCAGCTAAATGGCAGTAAGTCGGGAATCTTGAAGATGGTAACGATGATAGATTGACAACTAGCAATCACATACCTGTCCTCCTGTGATCAGATTATTCAAAATTGAATCAACCAAAGGCTTCTGCAATACTCTTCTCTTATGATGCCTCTTTTTAAAATGGGGATCAGGACACTGAAAAAAACAAAGTAATTGATTTAGGGGGATATAACACAATTCTTATGCATTTACATATCTCACACCTAAATATTTTCATATTTACACACATAGCACTCAAATCATTAATATCGTATCAAAAATAGCACTATTATAACTTTTTAAAAAGGGAAATACACATTTTCATGTATAGGTTTAAAACAACAAATTGCTATGCATATAAATATGAAGTTTAGGTGTGAGAAATATAAATACATAGGAATTGTGTGCTACGTATGTAAATTTCTCAAAAATAAAATAAAATATGAATTAGAAAGTTTTCCTCGACATGCTCACCAATATTGTAACAAAGGCTAAAGGACCGGGATATGAAGACACCAATCTTTCAAAAGATATCGTAGCATTGCAAGATAAGAAATGGCTATCCAAAGAAGACTGAATAAGTGACCATCAAGCATCATGAACACTGTAGAAAAAAATGGAAACGATCTCACATGTTTCTGAGAGAGAGTTCTTTCGCCCAGAACTGACATCGTTGAACCAGCTGCACATACATAGACCACATATAAAAGAAACCAGAAAGAGCAAGAATCAGCACAAAGGCTTACATGGAATAATGAGATTTTAGAAGACAACAAGAAACAAATAGAGCAAAACTCAACAGATCCGTCTTATAGGTCTTCCAACAAGTAGCAGAGTTATCTTTCAAACCTTGTGCCGAATTTCCAGTCCCAAGCAGTTTCTTGAATCAGGAAATCTTTTAGCAAGCCAAATCAAGAATCTGCCACTACCTAGAGATGCTGGTTCTCTTAGGACATGGACTGACTATAGAGTAAGCTAGTCAATAAAAGAGCCATCGAGCACTTTTAACAAACTAAAAAGATCAACCAAAGTTGTCTTTGATATTATGCCAAGAAACGTTAATAAAAACTGGAACCAGATAGATTTATAGGAGACAAATATAAGCATAAGAACATGATGGAGGGAAAGGTTTGACAATACCAGGGTAATGAAACGCATAAAAAACAGTTTAAAAGAATCGATAAACATCGAACTCTTTAAGAAGCAACAAAAGGTTCTGTAATGAAATACCCAATAAATCAGAAGATAAAGAAAAATGATTCCTATGCTGCTACCATTAAACGATAAAAAACTGAATAGCAAGGAAAATAAGCCAAAGAAGTTATTTCTGTTCCATTGGGACACTGATTTGTTCTATGACAGAAATTGATAAATTTTGATCCAAGCTGTAAACGATCAAAGAAAGTAAAGGTGGTGGAATTCTATGTCTGACCAAATAGAGAGCACAAAAGACTGACTATTTCATAATAAGCACAACATAAACACCATTGAAAATATTCATCCATAAAAAAAATTCAAGTTTCAAACTAAAGGAGGTCCATATGTCAATACCACTTCCAATATCCACCATAAGAGGCAGCTTGGAGTCATTGAAAACGTCATCCCAGTCAGGTGCATCTACAGGTATCTGCATTTACCAAAAGCAAAGAAAAGAATAAGAAAACGCTTTAAAAAGCAAAAAATCTAGTTGACACGTAAGAAGGAATTGAGCCTCATAATACAGCCACTCACACTGAAAGAAGAACTAAGAGGATTCACATGTTGTCGAATTCGCACATGACCAACCTGCAACTCAACCAGCCATTGTCAAAGCCAAGCCATTGGCTTTCTCATAACATGTAAGGGTTGTATGAAAGACAAAATTCATAGAAAATTACAAATTATAATTTTTGAGATATTGTAAGGGCTCATCTAATTTTGTTTTAGATAGAGAAATTTGAATACAATAAAAAATGATGATTTTATTTTTCACTCATGTAAGCCTAAAGGCCTTCATTTGAGTAAAATTAAAACTGAATACATGGAATGTAATTTTAGTAGTAGTAGTTCTAGTGACAAAAGTGTAACTTTGGGTGATCAAATTATTAAAAGGTTTGAAGGATTTAGATATCTCGGGTTTGTTGTTCAAAGCGATGGTGATATAGATGGGGATGTTAATAGTGGAATTCAAGTTGGTTGGTTGAAGTGGAGGAAGGCTTCGGGCCTTTTGTGTAAAGTGCCGCTTAGACTGAAAAGAAAATTTTATAAGATGGTGGTGAGACCTGCAATGCTCTATGGCGCTGAATGTTGGCCTTTAAAAGAGAAGCATAATACTAAGTTACGTGTTGTCGATATGAGAATGATTATGCGGATGAGTGGCTTTACACTTAGAGACAAAATGCAAAATGTTTATATCTGTGATAGGTTTGGTGTAGCTCCAGTGACGGACAAATATAAAGTAAGTCGTCTTAGATGGTTTGGTCACATTAAACCTCGACCATTTGATGATCTGATTAGGAGAGTAAATGTTTTAGATTTGACTTATGTTAAGAAAGGCAAAGGTAGACCTAGGAAGACTTGGGCTTATTGTATAAAAAATGATCTTAATTTATTAGAACTAAGTCAAAATATGACAGTAAATAGGACGCAATGGAGAAAAAAGATTCATGTAACCGACCCCACATGGTGGGATTAAGGCTTTGTTGTTGTTATTGTTGTTGAGTGTCAAATAAAAATAATTTAGTTTGATAGAATTCTGAGTGGATTTGTAAAGTTTAAAATCAATTTAATTTTTTTTACTACATCCAATCAAATGATGAACAAAACAAAATTTAACCAATTTTCAAAACATGCTCTCCTATTGTAATCAATCAAATGAAATTGTAACTCTAAAACAAATTCAACAAGTTTGATTCTAGCAATTTTGTTAAGCGTGTCAAACTCACTACTTGTTTGAAGCTAATTTCAAGATGCTTGATGGAGAGTGTGAGAATAAAATGCTTACAAGTAATGGATTTGAGGAGTTTAAATACCTTGTTGTTTGTTGTCCAAGGTTAACTCCATTGCTTGTAGTAGATAGAAAACCCATTCAAAAATTAGTGATTAATTTCCTCTCGCTAGTGAGCGGAATCAAAAGTTTTATATTTGAGGCATTAGTAGAGTTTAAAGGGAAACAAACAGGCCAAGGTATTATAAACGGTTTCCCTGTCAGAACAAGGTGGAAATGATTACAAGTGGGATCACATGTTCAATGATTTCATCTCTTATCTAAATTTTTTACAAAAGAATACAGATATTTGTGTTGGAACCTATTGTAGTAGTGGATACACATCATCTAGAAAAGAGATGTGTTAGGGGAGAGAGCCTTGAGAAGAGAGCGGAGATAAGGAAGGAAGTAAGAAAGGAGAGAAGGTAGGAGAAAGAGGATGAAACTTTCCAAGGTTGTTTATCGATCTTCAAGGGAAAATCCTTACATGCGTTTAAATCCCCCTCCCATCCCCCTCCCCCTCCCCCTCCCCCTCTTTTTTATGGGCTTGTCTGGGATAGGCAACATAAAAAGCAACAAAAAATATATAAAGTACACGGTACATAGTACGACCTCAAAGGTAGAACGATATAGTCCGGTATGCGGCCTAAACGTCTTATTTGTTTGTGCAGCCTCTAAGGTATATTGTTGTCTATCTACTAGGTGAATCGGTGAAGCCTATTTGGACTCTGGGAGAACTCGTCGTTAGATCTATTCAAGGTGACTTGACAGATTTGTCGGTTATCCTGGCTAGCCAAATTGAAGGTTGGTCCTTTTGGTCGAACTGGCTAGCACAGCTCGCTTGGCCAAATTTTGTGCTCAAGTTATCTAGTCAAATTGATCGACTTAATATTATCTTAAAATGAATGTCGGTTAGAAGTATTTATTTATATATATTTGGTTCGCCGATCCTCTTTATCTTCTTTGACATTGAAGAAAAAATATGAGAATAAAAATTTAACTGTTTCTATCAATAATGTGTTTCCTTAAATTTATTTATGATGCATTAATTTCTTTGTAAATTATGACTCACTGTTCTTCTATAAATAGTGAGTGTTTCCTACGAGGGCATCATTGGGAAAATTACTTCTCCTATCTTCTAGTTTGTCTTCTTTCTTCGTTTTACTTTCTTCGATGGAGAAGGCTACTAAAGAGCGGATTAAGATTACCAAAGCAAGCCTCATTGAGAATATGTTCGGGAAGCACAAGAAGCGATCGAGACTCCCAAAGAGGGGACTCCCATGATACCTCATATGGCTGGCCTCCCTTCTTCTATGGAAGCTTTTCTTGGAACAAATCTATTATCTTATGGGCCTCTTCAGTGTGAGGTTTCTATTTCTGAAGCACTTTGTGCTTTGAAGTTTTGCGGCCTATTAAGAATATTTTATTTGAGGCTCTCGCCTCTTGAAAGGTGTTGGATGAATTTTGAGGCCCGAGTGACATATATGTTCCTACCAATATTGATTAAGGATAACAGGTAAGATGTATTGATATAGAAACCTTTAACAAATCTATTAGAAAGAGCTACAAAGAATGGAGGTTTTTTTACAGTTTGGTTGACTTTTAGTGAACTTATGAGCAAAGAGCATCTAAAGATCAACGTGCCCAGTCAAACATAACAAGCAGAATGAACTGATAGAAGTAGATGTTCAAAAAAAAGGAATTTGCTCTTAAAGACAGGGGCATTATGTCTAGTGAATTTGCTCCTTTTGTTGCTGAAATGTCAAAGGGGCAGGTGTAAGAGATGAGAGATGGAGAGAATTCCCATGCCGAAGGAAACAATTTTTCAAATTTCTTATAGAATATCATTTATTTTGAGAGTTAATAGTTGTATTGCCTCCTCTGACAATTTCTTCTGGTGAGCCAGTCCAATATTGAGACTATGTGTTGCAAATACGATGATATGTATCACCAATGGTAATAGTTCCAGCCACTTCGCTTCTTAAGGAGCCAATTCTAGAGAACTACATTGCCATTCAAACATCTCTTCAACTAGGCAAAAATAATAAAATTTTGGAAAGAACTCAAGAAATCTTAGTACAACTGAGCAAATGTCTGAACTAATTGACGAATTGTTTGAGTTAAAGAATTCACTTGACAAATTACAAAAAAGTATGGCTACAAGATGCTTTTGGTGTTTCAAAGTTTTTGGAGTCAACTCCCTCGAAACTCACTCGAACTGGTTCATGGTTGGCGGCAAATTTGTACTAAATCAATTAATAGAGCATATAGTTGAGTTTCTCGATAATTTGCTTCAAATCATGTATTGCAAATTTTCCTCGGGTGATAAACATTAAGTCTGCAGCATGAAATTGTCTTTTAATGAATGACAATTTATAATGAAGTGATTTTTTTTTTCTATTATTATTATGAGGTGATGTCCTTGAATTATCAATACTATTAAGTGCAACGCTTTAAGAATATAATTAATGCTTCATTTTTATCGTAATGCACTCATGGTCTATTATGTATAAATAAAAAGTTAAAAGTAAAAATTTAAAACCTTTACCTTTTTTGAAGAAATTATAAAGCTCTCTACCTTCTCTTTCGCCATCCTCCTTTCCTTTCAACTTCATCCTCATATATGTCAAGAATAGGTTTGGAATTCATCGATAGTAGTCAAGTGTTTATGTTTTTTGAATTCTCAGGACAATCCAAGCCTTCGGGCTTAAATAGTAATATGGCACAAATGAAGTTTTGATCCATTCATTAGAATGAATGCAATGAGGAAAGATGTGTTGGCCAACTAGACTTTTGATGATGAGCTCCTATTCTATTATTATCAATTCCACTTATATACCAAGTTAGTGGAGATGTTCAATTTCTTTGGATCATACCCACGTAAATGATGTCAAATTTGTATGCAGGCATCATGAGACCGATACTTTATTTGAGAAAAAAAAGATGCCTTAAAGTCTGTTTGGGACAGCTTTTTGAACCTTTCGCGTTTCAGACCGCACCAAAGTTCTGTATGGGAAACTGCTTTCTAGCAGCTACAAAATTTTTTTGGTGGGAAGATATTTTTTTCAATCTGACATGTTAAAGTACACATGTTATAAAAAATTATTGTCCAAATTTTTAGAAAAAATATATATTTATAATTCCTACCGCAGCTTTCCGAGTTGTTTTCTCCACGACAGCTTTACAATCACCTTTTTAAAAAGCTACAACTATCCCAAACAAGGTCTTAGTTATTGTTGATATTCCAACACTTTTTTACTGTGAAGGCATACAAAAATGAGTTTGATCTACTTTCAAGGACTAACCGTAAATTGATTGGAGAGCAAAATAAAGAATTGGAAGGAGAAGTATTGTTAGAACACGATTAAGAACTTGATATTATCTGTTCTTGGTTGGTGTACTATAAAGAAAACTTAAGATGAATTACTTAGATTTAACATAAATTTTGATCTTTTGATTGACAAACTGAAGTTCATTATTTATGATGATAACCATGATAATCCAAATCGACCAATGATGTATTAACGGAAGAAATTACATATAACTTCAATTGTGACCTTGGCTAAGGCTTTTGCTTCAATATATTTAGAAAAATAATTGAACATGATTGGGAAGAGCTTCTTCTAGCTCTTTGCAGATGGAAATCGGCCGAGCAGATCCATACTCCGAACTGCAAAAAGCCATAGACTAAAGATAAGTTGCAGTTTGTGACAAGATTATAGCTATAATGGAGAAAATTTCTGACATTTCTCGCATTTTCTAGATAAGCCTTGTGTGCCTTGTGAAGAGTAGGCCAGAAAGCCTTGTCTCATAATTTCATTTATTACTGTTATTTCCCTTAAACATTCACATTTTCTCGAGAGTGCCTCTTTTACATATTTGGCAAATGATTTTGCGCAACTTTGCATTTGTTGGGAGTTAATCTCATTTACTTCTGCTTTTCTATTTTTGGATGAAGTAATTAAAGAACTGGTATTCCATCTGAGCCTCCTAATTTGGATAGCAAGCTAGCTAATTGGTTTCATTCTCAAGAGATATTTTCTATCTTAAAGTATTTGAACTTTTCAAATTTCATTTCACTTTGAAGTGGTATTTTTATATGTTATCTTCTCGAGTTTCATATTCATCATTGACCTATTTCAAGATAAATTATGAGTCAGAACCTACGTGATGATGTTTTACACATATATCTTGAGTGAAACTTAAGCTTGATATGAGTATTCATCTTAATTATTGGTGACTACAAAACAAATATGCATGGAGTGACACAAGACAATGTCAGTTGGACTTCGAAGTATCCCAATGCCAGCTCTCAAATTGTAGCAAGCCCATCGACGATAGGGTCCATAAATATTTGTCATTGCATTGTTTATTCATCCATATTTGGCTCGGTGAAGTCAATTAGGAAGGGAATGAAGTGTATGCCTTGATGGAAATTCTTCGTACATAAGTGATATTAAAAACTTTGAGTTCAACCACCCATTTGAGTAATCGTCTGGGTGTTTTGGCTTGGCTAGAATTGACTTCAATGGGTACCCAGTGATAGCTTGTAATGAATGTGCTTGAAAGTAAAGATGAAACCTTTGAGCAAAAACAATGACTATAAAAGTGAGTTTTTCCATGATAAAATACCTAGTTTATGCTCCTTTCAATATTTTATTGGCATGATAAATGAGAAATTTCCTTCTATTTTGTTACAGCAAGATACATAAGTAAGCTTTTACCAGGATTTGCGCTACGAAGAAGGATTGAGCAATAGAAAATTTTTCAGCTAAATGAAAGCTTGCTCACATTCATCAAACTAGGTGAAATGCATTTCTTTTCTCAAAACTTCGAAGAAGATTGAACACTTATTTCTTGACTTTGAGATGAAGTAACTCAAACCGGCAAATTGAAATGTTAGCTTTTAAAGCACCTTAGTATTTATATAAGATGACATATTCAGAAATGCATTAGCCTTCTCCATATTCATTTTGATTTTGTCTGGGGTAAGCAGATAACCATGAAACTTTCCTAACTCTGCTCTAAAATCACATTTGAGTGAGTTAAGCTTCATGTTGAATATTCTTAATGTTTCAAAGTTTTCTTTTAGGACATTGATGTGTTGCTCAAGTGACTTCTACTTAAGATGTCATCCACATATACTTAAACATACTTTTTTCTATTTGTAAAAATTGCATCCATCATTCTTTGATATGTAGCTTCTATTTTTTTAAGCCAAAAAAATATTACGGTATAAAAATAAACATTATCTCTTGTGATAAATTTTATCTTTTTAGCAACCACTAGGTTCATTTTGATTTGATAATGGCTAAAGAAAGCATAAAAAAAACTCATGACTGAGCCGTCGAATGTCAAGTTGACTAAGACATCGATCATTGGCAATGGGTATCTATTCTTTGGATATGTTTAGTTGAGATTGGTGAAATCTACACAAATCATCCACTGGCCTTTGAATTTTGGTACCATTACCAATCCCTTATGAATTTTTTCTTTAGCAATTTCTCTAGAAATCCATTTCTAGTTGGTCTCTCCTTCTGAGAATTTTTTGCATTTTCTCCCTTTTATAGTCGATTCCTATCTTGAAATGAACCCGAGTCAGAGGGATTTATTATACAATTTATAGCAACTTTGAAGACATAATATTCAATTTTTAAGATGATGTCCTAATTTTTTTAGACATATATCCCAAACTTTGATGATATTAGTGCTTATAAGATTTAAATTCTAGCAAAAAAAATAAACAAATTGAGGATATCAACAATCATTATTAAGATTAAAAATTAAACTTTACGAGAATTAAAATAAATACTATATAATTCTTATGTAATTACATATTTAATGCATAAAATTTGATATAGTAGTATATTATACTCAAGTGTCACATTCACATTAAAAGAATATGCATAAAAAGGTGTGTTTTAGTTTACTATGTGATGTTAAACACTTGAGTGGTAAATAAGTAAATATTAAAGCTTAGGCATTAAATATATATATACATAATAACTTTATGGTATCTATGTAAACCCCCCTAAGAAAATAAAGACATATATAAGCATGTGGAGACTCATGATAGTATCATAATATTTGGAAAATGATTAAAATATTTTACAAACATATGCGTAATACCACTTTTCATCATTCTAAAACTATACTGATGGAAACAATTCAAGGCATGTACACATTTGTTTAACTAGTTTAAAATAGTTGTTTCTGACTTTCGCATAAAGCACTGAAAAATTAAGATATTTACAATTGTTTTGAGGAAAATAATAAAATCCAAAGACCTTTAAATGAAACATAAAAAACATAATTAAAATTTTTCACAAATAAAAGGACTAATGGCCCTAGTCATATTCTAAAGCTATACTGACAGAAAGAGGTCGGGGCGTTAGACACAAAATTTTTCTAAGTTCAAATTACATTTTTTTTATTATTATTACATCCAAGCAAACAATCAAATGTAGCAATTTTCATCGTTTTGTATAGCGTATTTCCTATCAGTAAGTAACAAAAAGGGCCCAAAGTAAGAAAAAAGAGTGACCTGAGCGCTTATTGATGAGAAAAAGAGAAACAGAGACACAGTCTTTTACCTGTCCGTCGTCATAGAGATTCTTGAGATTGAGATCGGCGTATTCCCTTTCCACTAGGTCGGAACTTGTGATTCTGCCATTTCCGTTGCCTTCGGGATCGAGAACCCTTGAGCAAGGCATGTAACATTGGTCGACCTTTCTGGGTTTGTCCAAGCGGGTCGTCATCCCCCAGGAAAAGTTAAGGGTCTGCGATTGGCTTGAAAATTTCGCAGCAAAGGTCGCTGTAGTAAGCGTTGCACAGCCTGCAGTGGCGCTCCATCCACGGGCAAGCATGCTCGCCTCTCTCGGGAGGATGGGAAAAAATTTGCTTTCGCGGAGACTTCCTTCCGTAACTGCAGGTTGATTTTAGGGGTTATAAGAGTAACTTTTGCGCTTTTGTTTTGTTTTGTTTTCATATATATGTTATAACCTCCTGAAATCCTCCCTGTAACATGTTTGCAGGTTACAGATGTACGTAGCTCTGCGTACGTTTTATGTACGCAAAATTTTTCCCTCGGGATGGGGAAAAAATTTGCATAAGTCAATGAGTACGCAGAGATGTGTACATAATAGGGTACACGGGCGTTATATGAGAGTTACATGGGAGTTACAAGTTGTTATAACTTCCTTGTAACTTTCGTGTAACTCAGCTGTAACCCGCGCTTTTATTTTATCCATTGAGATTACAAGGTTACAGCGGAGTTACACGGGAGTTACACGGGAGGTACAACAGGTTATAAACCCCTTATAATTCCCGTATAAATCCCGTGTACCCTATTATGTACACATCTCTGCGTACCCCTTGACGTACATAATTTTTTCCCCGGGATGGGATGTAGTTGTTATGGCCCTACTCTAGTCCCCTCTTTTAGTGCGGACCATATTGATTATACTTGGGCTCAACTAAAAAATAGTAAGCTTGGAATCGCGGATTACGTGATAATCACAAAATAATTTTGAAATAGTCTTCGCGGTTCTATTTCATTAACCTAAAATAACACCATCGAGATTATTTTAGGATTATTTCTTGGTTATTTCAGAGTTATTCAGGAAAAACTCGTACATTTCACTTCATTAACCCCTAAATAACTCAAAAATAACTTCTATTATTTCGGGGTTATTGAAGTGGAACCGTGGAGGTTATTTCAAAATTATTTTGAGATTATTTAAAGGTTATTTATGAGTTATTTTGGGGTTATTGAAGTAAAATATATGAGTTTATCTTCAATAACCAGAAATAATATTCGTGGTTCCACTTCAATAATCTTGAAATATCATCTACGATGTAGCACACGTGGCGACATAATATTTGAGTCCGTACGTAGAGCTACATCCGGAGTTCAGACATAAAATTTTTCCCTTTTAGAGAGGGTTGAAAATAAAGTGTTAGGAAGGGCACACTCTAGGAAAACTCTAATATTTAATTTTAGGATAAAATTTTTAAAGGGCTCGATTTAATAAGTTATATAGTGGATCGAAACCTACAGGGAAATTAATATACAGAAAGGAGCAAGCTCATCTTACACAGTTTTGCATTTAAAAAAAAAAAACGTTCCATACATGTAAGTTTTTTTTTATAAAAAAGCATGTACTTCCTGGGTTTAATATTAAATGTAGTCTAGGGCTACATTTTTCTCATTCGTACCCCTAAAATTTATGTTTGTTTCTCCTCTCATTCCACACTTCTCTATCTCTATCTCTCTCTTCGCCATTGGTTTCCTATAGTGTTCCCTCTTTCTCTATCTCTCTCGTTTCTCTCTTACTGGAACAACCTCGCTTCCCCCTCCCTGTCCTTTCCATCGAAATAGCCCCCCTTTCCTCCACTCTCTCTCTCTCTTTCTCTCTTAGGGTGTGTTAGTTTCTACTATAGTTGTAGAGTTCAAAAGTTGTTTTTGAAAATTTACTGTTAGGAATGTGGTGTTTCAGAAGCATGTGTTCTATTTGAAAATCACAGTTCTGAAAAGTGTTGTCTGTTGTCTTTTGACTAACGACTGTAATATCCCTCAGTAATATATAGAGTTCTATTCGAAAAACACAATTTTGTTTGAAAAACATAGTTGTTAATGTGTTGCATGTGGAATAAATTCATTGACAATTTATCAAGTTATTTTCACTCACAACACCATAAAGGAATTTAAGATGAACATTAACTGAATTTTCTTCCCTAAAAATAATCTTACGAACATAAATTTAACATAATATAATCAACATAAACTACATCTCAGAAAAACATACGAGTTTTTTTTGCCAAAAAACTAATAGTGGTATAGTTTATCCTCAAAAAAATATAAACATCATCAAAACAATAACAGAAGTGCTACAATTATAAAATCAAACAAGAGCAAGATCTTCACAAGAAATTTGAAGACTTTAAGATCATTATTCACCATATTATGAGATACATTTATCTTTTCATCACCTTGCTCTATTATTGCATTGCTCCGTTTATCTACCAATTGAAAAAAATTGCAATCTCTGTTCATAAAATTTTTTAGACATCTACAAATTTTTTTTTGTCGATATTATCACTTTTTTGAGTCGTGAAAACAACACATAATAGATTGTAATCACAAAATATTGGTTGAAGTTTCGTCCCCTTAGAGTACTTGAATAGTTTAAGTTCATTTTTGATATTATAATCTTGTACATTAATGAGAGTGGTGTCCTAACATGATTGGATTCACTATGTTCATTAATCTCATGTGCTGCTCTTTAAACTGGTTCATTTCAGATGTTGTCATGTTTTTGTGATTCTTGAGAAGTCCTAGAAGAACCACCCATTACAACAAACATCGCTAAACATAAGATCAAGTTTCTCCTTCAGCTCGGGTTCAATGTCACCATACCTAAATTTTTTAACATTTTACATGACCTTCCATTTTGAACAATCAGAAGACAAAAATAACATTTTCAATTTCTACATATACATGAAATAACATTAGTAGTGATTTAAAAATCATTTCACCTCCAATTTCTTCTTCTACCAACCTGTTAATGCTTCAATGGTATTTTTAGTTGGATCTCAACCAAGCTCGACATAACCTCTTTATCTCATTTGTTATTTAATTAAGTTATGTCATACAATATACCAGTTTTTTTCTTGAAAATTATTTGAAATATTTTTTCAACCTTCTTCGTTGCAATGGGTTGTAGGTTTATTTACTAGTTCAACCACTTTTAAACATATGTCACAAAAAATCATTTTTGCTTCTTTCTCACGCACGGAGGAGGTTGTGTTGTGTATTATGTTGCCTATATGGTAATGTATCTAATAGACGGATATAAGTTTTCAAATGTTATGTGACAATTAAAAGAGCATCCAAGCACTGTAGTATAATAAAATTTGCACAATTCGCCAAAGAACAGGACAAATTGGATGCCAGATTTACAGATAAAGGATATAGCCAAAGGTACATATGGCAATAATAATAATAAAATATGTAAAATTTTATACATCAAACACCTAGAGATTCATAAGTTCATTGTAAACAATCGAGTCTTGAACATTACATAAAAAAAATCATCATTACTATGTTGCTACATCTATGAATGCCTCTACCCTTCTCAATTAGAATATATATATATATATATATATATGGATAATTGGTCTTTGGAAGGTTGCCTTCTTCATGATCAAAATGTTCCAGCCTCTCCAATGCTTGTGAAGGATCTTTGGGAATATGTAAGTGGAATCTTACTCCAATTCTTCCTTTCTGCAACCCTTCTCAAATCTCCAATATTTTGAAACTTTCTGTAAACCCTGGAGTAAAGGATAGAATTGCTATAAAAAAGAACTTAATATCTTCTCAGCCTCCCCAACTGGTGGTGTATTGGGGTCATACAATCTGGAATAAATTTCTCACTCCCTCCATGTCATTTTTTATATGGAGACTCTTCTTAAAATTGATTCCCATTGATGATATATTGAAATTGAAGGGTCTGAG